CGTCAGAAGAAGCATTGCTCACCGTCGAGATCATGGCAGAAGCACAAGAAGTTTCAAGTGGAGAAGAGGCGATCTCCACTCAAAGCTTTCCTCGGAAAGGCTCCGAGACGTCCTCGACAAGCGCTGCCTCGCACAATGGACTTAGCGCCAGCTCCATCGCACCGAATGACAGCAGCGCCAATTCGAGCGCGGTGGACGTGACCACTCCCAGCGTCTCTTCTCGCTCCTCGAGACTGAGCAGCTTGGAGAAGGATGATTCGAGCGAAGCGCTGCAGAGAATCCGCAAGCGATCTTCCTTGTCCCGAGCCGGATCGCCAAGGTCGCGTTCCGAATCTGGCTTCTTGGCGGCTGCTCGTACCCAAGAAAAGGGCATACAGTCCGGAGAGACAAGGTCTTCAGCTTTACCCGTCGGCGCGCTGTCTGCTGGGTTCCTGGCAAAGCTGGTGCAGGGTGTGGTCGACTCGTTGGAAGATCGTTTGGAGAATCTGGCCAGCAGACCGGATTGGATCGGCACGGCGGCGAGCTTGACGCTGGAGCGTGGATACTGGATCGAAGATCGGATTGCGGAGGAGGAGATCCTTAGAAGGGAAGCTATTGGCGGCATCGACAACATGTGGCTGCTCTTGAGCGACACCACTTCCTCCTTTAATCCAGTTTGTACAGCCACCTTTGTCTTCAAGGAGCCGCCTACGCTGGACAACATCAAAGAAGCGCTCAAGGTTCAGTCAGATCTGTTTCCAAAATACAAGCAGAAATTGGCAAATGTAGGAAGAAAGTGGCACGGTGCACACTTTGTAGACGACCCGGACTGGAACGTCAATAGGCACGTCTCGATCCAACGACTTCCCGAGCCTGCGGGCAAAAAGGAGTTGGAGGAGTACACGGCCAGGTTCATCGCCAAAGACTGGGACTTCGACAAGCCACTGTGGGAGTCGGTCATCTTCGACAACTTTGTGGATGCGCAGCGAGTTGCCAAAGGAGCTATGGTCACGCGCGGCCATCACACCCTCACTGATGGGCAGGGCTTCTGCTTGTCTCTCTTGAGCGCGACGTCTTTCCGACCCGAGCTGGAAAGATTGCTCAATGATGGAGCATCCACCTTGAGGCTTGCTCGCCGAGGTCGCGCCAAACCTTCTAAGCTTCATAAAGCGCTCAAGCCATTGGATAAATTTCAAAATACTCTTTTCTTACAATTAGCCATGCTCGCCTTGTTTTGGAGCATGTGGATAGTCTCGCTCGTAGCTGATGCTTATGGCAGCATCGAGCAGGGTCTCGTCATTGGGTTTTGGTGGCTCTTTACGGCGTGGAGGCAGCGCTACGCCACTACGACATACCACGGTCCTCGTGTCAAGGGCAAAGAATTCTCCACGAGCAAAGCCTTCGAGATGGATGACATCAAGACGATCCAGAAAGCCTTCAGTGGACCCACACCCGGAGGTATCATTGATCAGATCAGCGGTCGAAGAGGCAAATACATATCTGGACATATCACGCTCAATGATGTGCTGTGCACCGTCATTGCGGATGCGATTATCGATGAAATGGACGACATGGACGAAGACCCAGCTCACCACCCTCCAGGGCTATTTTCTTGGATTCAACGCTCGGCCAACGCTTTGCTGCCCTCCCGCATCGCGCTGATGATCCCGATCAGCATTCGCCCTATTTCCAACACGAGCATGAGCAACTGGTCCACGGGCTCCATTGCCTACCTTCCCTGCGGCAGCGCCAAGGAAGGTCTGCCGACTGGGGCTAAGGCAATGCACAGACGCTTGAAGGGCAACTCTAGGGCACTCAATACCCTCAAGAGAGGCTGGCTGCCTACGCTTAGCTTTTGGGCCATTCAGTTGACTGGTCAGGCTCCGTGAGTCGAACGCATCGACGTGAAATTTGTGATTGTTCTTCGCACCTCTAC